TTATCAATCGATCTTACCTACCCGCAAGATTAAGATCGCCCATCATGCGAACTGGAACGTGTCTTCTCTTCGTTCTTTCCGGCCTTTCTCACAGCGCTAAAGACGCTTGCTCTATTTACGACACCCCTCATAAGCCGTCCGATCTCGGGAAACCGTGCCCAACTTTTAGGCCGACAGGTTTACACAAGACCCGAGCACTTTGCGGCACGATGGGTTGGGTCGACTTCGGTCTTGGCTACGGTCAGAGGCTAATAGAAGCAACGAATCCCAATAAGGGTAAAGGAGGAGCAAACAATAAGATAACTTTTACTATCGCATACGTTACCCCTGAAGACCCTGCAGGTCGTTTCATGGTTATCTCAGATGTGGCCGTCGATGTGCCATGCCAGCCAATGTTTCCGGCACGCGCAAAGCTTCATGGTGTATCATACTTTCTGCAGAAGAATTAACCGCATCACGGAGCATCTTCATCCGATCAATCCTGATTAATCCTGATTTTGGAAATTTGGATCACTAAGGTTAGGAAAGATTTGGGAGATGGATTATTAGATTGTATCTACTACGATCGGACTTATATATATAGAGCTTCAGCTACCCTTACTAGAAGGTGTATAATTAGTAAACCTTCCTTACTAGAGCTCCTGCTTTTTATTAAGCACTTAGCAGTAAGCTAGTAGTTAATTAGATAGTGGGTTATACAGGGGTATTAATTAGGATTAATTAGATTAAGATACTCTATAATCTAGTTAGTATCCCTCCTATAATATACCCCCTAGGTATAGGTAGATCTTTTATTATTATAGTTGCACTTATAGTTAATAGGTAGTGTAGCTAATTAGAGCGTTATATATCTAAAGGGTTAAATTAGCTTATCCTTTAGATACTAACTAGCGCGCCTTCCTTATTTAGCCTACGCTTGCGCGCTTAGATATTATCTAGACTAAGCTCTATAACTCTATCTACCTAACTATAATCTTTACTATAGCTTAAATTATAAGATTATATAACCCTAAAGATCTAAACTATACTTATATCCCTACTAACCTATATTTTAGTTAAAGTTAAAAACTAGTACTTATACTTGCTCTACCTATACTACCCTAATTACCTCCTACGCTACTAAAGCTACTATTACTAAAGCTACTACTACTAAAGAAGAGCATACTACTACTAAGTATAAGGCTATTATAGAGCGTGTAGTAGCTAAGCGTATAGCTGCTACTACTATAGTTAAGATTGCAAAGCTAAGGAAGGGCGCTCCTACTCTAGCTCCTACTACTCTAGCTCTAACTCTACCTCCTACTTCTCCCTAGACCCCGCCTTATATCCCTACTCCTGCTCCTGCTCCCTCTCTAGCTCCTAAGGAGACCCTAAGATCCTCCTATTATAGAGAGCCTAGTATTTATTATACTAAAACTTGTCTAAATTATCTACGCTCTACACTCTTTAATAAGTCTAATAGTAAGTGCTATAACTCTTCTAGTAGGGGGACTTAGTACTAGTAGTGCTTCTCTAGGTATAGCTATATCCTAATATATATAATCTATATAAGAATTTTTCCTTTATAACGCTTAGTAAGATCTATACTAATAAACTAATAGCCCTAAGCTTGCCTAATATTCTACACTATCCTTCCTAGTAAGGAAGTAAGTAGGTAAGAGCTAAGACCTTCTTAAGGATAAGAAGCAGAGGGTCTTAGTGCTCCTTAAGGAGAGTAAGGCTAAGTAGTAGGAGCTAGTAAAAGCTACTACTACTACTAAGCTTGCGCGCAAGGCTAATATAGTAGCTAAGGGCGCCTAGAGCTCCTTATTAGAAGATAAGGACTCTAGCTCCTCTAAGGTTCCCCCTATAGATCCTAGGTTAGGGCAACCTAGGCGGCTCCCTATAGACTCTAAGGCACGCTTTACGCGTCTAATAGAGCTCCTTAGGGAAGCTACCTAGTTAATAATAGAGAGGTAGGCTATAGTTAGTTATTCTTATATTATATATTAATAGATCTTATATACTACCTTACTTTAATTAATACTATATAATATATACTCTACTATTATATAACTTTAGGTGCTCCCTAAACCTTATAAATTATTATATTATTAGGTTTTTAGTAAGCCTATTAGCTAGCATATTACTAGTAGGTAGGTAGGCAATATAGAAAGATCCTTTTGCATACTCTTATCTTAGCTATATGTTTTAAATATCTATATAGCGTAGCTTAGTAGTAATCCTTTTATTATTACCTACTACTAACCTAATAGTTTATTAATTATTATAATTAATTATCTAGGTAGTATCTAAAGTAAGGTGTATTTTAGTTAAAAAGCGTTTTAACGCTATTGCTTCTTTGCTTACTTACTTAAGCGCAAGGAGCTCTACCTTAGTAGTTAAAGTAGTAATAGTTACTTGTTAAGCTGCCTTTTAAATAATAGGTCCTCTAAAGAGCGTAATTAGGTATCTATGTAATAATTGCTAAGTATTAATATTATTAGCAAATAACACATTACTATATATTATAAGCTTATTAGGATCCCTATTCCTATATTAGATTAATTAGTATTAAGTTTAGCATAGATAGACAATCACTTAATTAACCACATTAAAGTGTTGTTTGGATAGGTTAGTAAGGTATTAGGAGAGCTAGGAGGATACATAGGCAATATTAGGGCGCACTATAATTAAGGTGTAAAGGATTAATCTAACGCGCTCCTAATAGTCCTTAATCTCTTTTTTAGTAGCTTCTCCTATACTCTTTTTAATATCTTTACTTAATAGTAGTATAGCAGGGAATTTTCCTATCTCTACTAGATTAAATTTCTTTATAATCTTGTTAATATATTTATTATAAACAAGCATTATTATATATCTCTTTCTATCCTAGATTACTTTTACCCCTAGAAACTAGCTTACAGGTCCCTTTTCTTCTATAGTATATCTTTGCTTTAGAGCTTAGATAACTTTGTAAGCTTAGCTTACGTAGTTTTAGTAATAGAGCGATAGGATATTGTCTATATAGAATATTAACAAGATACTCCAATCTCTATTAAAGAATAGGTATAGCTCCTCTTTAGAAGTAATAAGCTTATTTTCTTAAAGTGTAGTTAAGAGCTTATTATACTATAATAATAGTAAGTCTTTTAGTCTATATAGAGCTTGTTTAAGCTTAATATACTTCCTAGGTATTTAATATCCTTTAGGTAGCTTATAGATAACTATAGGGTGTTAATCCCTTAAGGCGTTAAGGAAAGCTCTAACAACGTTATATTAATATATCTTAAGGTTAAACTTAGCTCTAATAGCTATTACAGTCCTAAAGGTTTAAGCTACTAGGGTAGCTGCGTAGGTTAAATAAATTAAGTTAGTAAGCTATAGATCTCCTCTTACTACTATCCTTGCTTTGCACTTAATTAGGTAACTATCCTAATTAAGCTTGTATATAAACACCTATTTAAGTAGGAGTAGACACTCTCCCTTAGTTAGCCTATTAATCTCCTCCTAGGTACTAGCTTTTAGTAGAGTATTAATTTCTTTATGTGCTACGTCTCTAAATTGCTATCCTATTTAGTGGTTATAGAGATCCTTCTATTATTTTAGCTCTTTTTATAGAGCGTCCTAGTGCGTATTTCTTTTAGGGTTTTTAGGAGATTTGCTCCCTATTACTGCTGCGATTATAGCGTGGATTGTAGTATTTAGTTTAGGATATACTAAAAGATTGTGCAAGGGATTCCTAATTAGATCTATATCTAATAGATCTATCACTATGTATATCCCTGCACTTGTGGAGCCTCCTAGTAGTTTATTAGGGTCCTGTCCCTAAGCTTGCTTACTAACACGCGTTAGTGGTAGTCCTTTAACTCGCAGTTTTCTACTTCTTCTAGGAGCTCTAGGTGCCGCTTATAAGGGATCTGCAGGAGATATAGAATCTAGTCCTAAAGCGGGTAGGTAGGAGCTCTACTTACCACCCCTATAAGAGCTAGATAGGGTGCCCTTACCTATCTCCGTGCTCTTATAGAGTGACCCACTAATAGCACTCTCCCCTCTAGGTCTTTCCTAGGAGCTACCTATCGTGGCGTTAAAGTAAGTTAGATTACTACTATCTTAGGTAGTAAGACCCTAATCTATAACCTGCATAGATCCTTCGTCTCCTATACTAAAGTTTGGTTCTAGTGTTAGTTTAGGAGTTTAGAGCCCTATTAGCTTAGGGGACTTTGCATAGATCCTTTGTGCTAAGCTAGCTGTGCTTAGTACCTACGCTAGAGGTGTCTGCTTAGGGGGTTGTGAATTACTAGGCTAGCTAGCCTAATTATCTACCTCCTCTAGCTCTACCCTACCCCCTAGCTCCTGTGCTAGGTTTAGCCCTCCTTGCTTACTAGACTCCTTATATTGCTCTGCCGCAATACAAAGCTAATTAAAGATATTAAGCTCTTTATATACTTCTCCTATATTGCAGATCTTATCTTTACTAATAATGTTAACTATCTTTTAAGCTTCTAACTATTAAAGCTACTCTAGATCTTTCTCTTTGTAGAAAAGATCCTTATTAAAGGTAACATTCCGCGTTATAATAATCTAATTAAGCAAGGGGATCTATATCCTATATATATTAGATGCTCTGTATCCTACTAGATATCTAATATAACCCTAAGGGTTCACCTTAAAAACCCTCTTGTAACGCCTAGCTGCTTAATCTTGGTTAAGGGGGTAAGCTTGACAGCCATAGGCGTATATTCCGCTCTAATTAGGGCCGAGATTAGTAGTTACCTCCCTTATCTACTCTAGTTACTACTACCTAAAGTATCTAGTAAACCAACAATCTAGCACTTTGTTAGGTGATATTATATTGTAAGTATAGGACAGGCTTATATTATAGAGCTAAGTTGCTGCTTTAACAATTTTAGGCTAGAGCTTTGTTAGTAGGTTAGCACTAATCCTTATTTTAATTGATTTTGTTATAATCTCCTGCCCTACTCTTTCTACTCCTCTATTAGGTTTATAGGTATATACAGGTAAGCTCTTAATCTTAATACTAGTATTAGCTACCTAGATCTAAAAGCGAGATTCACCACACTAAGGGAGCGTTATAACCTCGTTGTCTTACATAATCTTAACTATGTTAAGCTTATATTAGTTAAGTATTAAGCTCTTAAAGTTTTTAAACACCTGTATAATCTTATTAAGGTTTTTAGCTTGTAGTAGATAGGTATAAAGCTTTCCTAAGTACTCGCACTTTAATACTAAGATCTATTACTTATAAGCTATACCTATTAGTATGTTAAATAGATCCTATAATACCTAGTAGTATAGATATAGTAATCTTTCCCTTGGTTGTCTTAATATAACCTGTTAGGCATGTGTAATAGTGTAGTGCTCGCATTTGCTCCTAGGAGTTCCTTTAATCCTAATATTTATTACTAACTTAACTAGAGCTTTAAGCGCCTTAGGTCCTAAATAGCCT